ACGCGCAAGTGCCGGGGATTGCACCAAGGCGCTTGCGTACTTTCTTGATCCAAAGCTGCGAACTGGCGCAGTGGGTAATTGCATGGCTGCCATTGCAACAACGGCCGTTCGGACCTATCTGGCGAAGACGCTGTCGGGTCAATCCCACACGTTCTCGACCCCGTACCTTGCGCGCCAGCTAGCGACGATATTTTCCGCGTGCTGTCATCGTATTGCCCGCGTTCAGCAAGCGGCAGCTACCTGTGCAGATATCATTATCCGCGAAGTGCCATCCACGCTATGTCAAAAGAGTGCGCTATTTGCCCTCTTAGAGCTCCTTTCGATGATGTGGTACAGTTGCCTTGAAGGCGAGACTGATGATTATACCTGGAAGTCGACCTTTACATCAAAGCGGTCCAACATAGTGGTTGAGCTGTCTGATGACTACGCTTTCCGACGAGCGACTCTCGAGGCGTTACACAAGCGTGCAATCGCTTGGGTGAAGGGAGCGCTCGACATTGCTCCACTCGATGTCAAAGGGCTTCTTCAGTCGTATCTGTCCGAGTTCGATGATGAAATGACTTTTGGTCATATATCGCTCGGACGATCTTTTGCGTTGGAGATGGGGTCCGTCATTCCGTCAACTGATCAGCGCCTTGGTGCTATTGAACGCCAGGGCATTAACATCAACACTGCGTCGGACTTTATTACTCAATATACCACGAGACAGGAATACAAGTTTCTCGAGGGCGTTGCTGATCAAGAAGAGGAATGGCTCCAGGGTGCACCGGCTTCTGGACGGAAGTCGACATACCTCTCACGAAGCTTACACGAAGCGACGAATCTTCTAGTGGACTTGGAGAACCGCACCCTTAATCACAAGCATGTGACAATTGCTGAGCTTCGCGATATATTGCGGAGAGCGGCTGCGCTTCTATGCAGGGTGAAGACGGACCAGTCGCCTATCGTTCAGCATCTAGTCGGAATTCCCTTCGCCGTGTTCTCGAAGCAGTCCATCAAGCTGGGTATATCACTGTGGACGAGCGTTGCCAAAGAGAATCCTCGTATGGAATCCCGCATCCTCGTCGCCATTGCAGAAAATTGGGAGAATACGGTGCGCAAGCGTCGTGGTATCTTCAGCCCTGCACTGAGACACGAAGATCCCTTCTACGGAAAGCAAGAATTCGCTGCAACAGACAAAGAAGCACTCTCAAAACGCCAGCAGCAGATCTACAACCTGATCGCTCCGCACTTCCGCCTACTGCAGTTCTTATCTAGCCACTTCAGTGCCTCGAGGTTGAGCAGAGCGGACGTTGAGCGTGTTTACGTTCGGCTAATGCACATCACGCTCGATGCCATGAGTGGTGGTTGCTCGCAGCCCCTTGCTCGCGAGTCGTACTTCCATATCGTTCTGCTTGGATTGCGCATTGCACGTCACTGTACCACATTGTCGGCGACCATTAAATGGCGCCTGACGGATCGCATACTGACTGCTGCTCTGGCGTGGTTTGCGAAAGCCCCGCAATGGTCCTTTGGAGGCAACCGCCTACAGATCAAGGCTGAAACACATGTCCTTGCAGACGTGCAGGCGCAGCTTGACCTTATCGGAAAGGTCACAACTGTTACTGAGATTGGCACCAAACTGAAAGCAAAGCAAGATCTCCTCTCTCTACTGCTCTCAAACGAGCAGACTCGTCTCATGGTGTGGCTGTTCCCACTTGATTATGGCAAGAAGCATCACTTCACTTCTGGGCGCCACAACAATACACTTCCTGATGTAAGTCATCTGTCTATATGAATCGATAGGAGCTAACGTAACTAGACTGCCGTGTCTGCTCATCTAAAGACGGCTTGGACGGAGAACCCTGCCATTGCTGTACACCTCCTCAAGCGCTTCCAGTCGCAGCGCCTCAACAACGAGGTTCGATGGCAGGTACTGAACTTCCCGCACAAGGTTTTAGATGAGCCCGATGCTCTAGAGATTCTTCTAGGCAATCTCTTACCGAGCGATGTATCATTCCAGCTTAAGTATATGCTCTACTGGAAGCCTGTGAACCCTATCACGGCCGTCACGTACTTCCTTCCGGCTTATGGCAACCATCCTTTCATTATCCAGTATGCGATGAGAGCATTGGAGAGCCACTCGGTTGACGTCATGTTCTTCTACGTATATCAGATTGTACAAACCCTTCGATACGACGTCCTGGGCTACGTCGAGCGGTACATCATCGAGACGGCCAAGTTCTCGCAGCTATTTGCCCACCAAATCATCTGGAACATGAAGGCAAATGCGTACAAAGATGAAGCATCCGAGGTACCTGATCCCGTCAAGCCCACGCTTGACAAGGTGATGGGTAGCTTGGAGTCTAGTTTCTCCAAGGAAGACCATGCCTTCTACGAGCGCGAGTTTGCTTTCTTCAACGAGGTCACAGGCATCTCGGGTACCCTCCGCTCCGTCCTGCATGAACCCAAAGAGGTCAAGAAGCAGAAGATCGAAGAAGAACTTCGCAAGATTCAAGTGGAAGTCGGTGTTTACCTGCCCTCTAACCCCGATGGTCAAGTCATTGGTATTGATCGCAAGTCTGGCAAGCCGCTACAGAGTCACGCAAAAACACCTTTCATGGCTACATTCCGTATCAGAAAGACGAGACCCGATGATCAAGATCTGGAAGATCAGGAAGACGACAACCGCGACATTGCGCGTCAGCGAGACAACAGCTACGAAACATGGCTCTCTGCGATCTTCAAAGTCGGAGACGACTGCCGTCAAGATGTGCTTGCACTACAGATGATTGCTGCTTTCCGCGGAATTTTCAATACCGTCGGTCTTGACGTCTGGGTCTTCCCCTACCGTGTCACAGCAACCGCGCCGGGTTGCGGAGTCATTGATGTACTCCCCAACTCCATATCACGAGACATGCTCGGTCGTGAAGCCGTCAACAGACTTGACGACTACTTCGTGTCACGCTACGGCAACGAAGACTCGATCCGCTACCAAGAAGCGCGCTCCAACTTTGTGAAATCCATGGCCGCCTACTCCGTGATCAGTTTCCTTCTGCAATTCAAGGACCGACACAACGGCAACATCATGATCGACGACGCCGGCCACATCATCCACATCGACTTTGGTTTCTGCTTCGACATCGCACCCGGCGGCATCAAATTCGAACGCGCACCCTTCAAACTCACAGCCGAGATGATTGCCGTCATGTCTGGTAAAAATGCAGCAAACCCGTACCAATCGCAGGCGTACCGCTGGTTCGAGGAACTCACGGTCAAGGCTTTCCTCGCTAGCAGACAGCATTGCGAGCATCTTTGCCACGTCGTACAGGTCATGTTGGATAGTGGACTGCCGTGCTTCAAACCCGAGAGTATGAAGAATTTCCGCGATCGCTTTGTGTTGGATAAGAGCGAGAGGGAGGCGGCTGATTACATGAGGGGCTTGATTGAGAAGAGTAGGGGGAGTTATTCGACCGGAACGTATGATCGGTTCCAACTTATCACTAATGGAATTCCCTACTAGGCAGATGAGGGCGAGACGTATGGAGGCTTTCAGTCTGATAGATAGTATCGTTATTCTCGTAGAGCAACTAGAATCACGTACTTGCCTCTTGGCCCTTGTCAAAAAGCAACATATCTGCATACCACTTACGCATACCCCATCTCTTGGCTCTTTGCACACCGCCGTATCCCAGGCGACACTCCAATATGTCCCAGTCATGCATATGCATATACTCACGCGGTATGACTCCATAACACGCAGAATAAGCAACACTAGTCTACCTCCATCTCAAAACCACTCAACATCTCACCCAGGCCTCTCGTTTCCCCCGGATTCCACGCGCAAGCGGCTAAACCAGGTATGCATGTCGGCATGGAGCATGCATGGTAGGGCGCATCTGGTCTAGCCAGTATAGGAAAGTGAGGTGATTAGTTCGCCCCACATATATACTCCGATTGGCGGGAGGCGTTGGCGGTGACGCGGTGAAAAAAATGGGCTTCTTCTTTGCGCTTATGGCTAATAGGCATTTAGATCTCTTTGCTCATTGAGTAACCTTCCTTTCAAGTCAAGTCCAGGTAGCTGTTGAATGCTCTGGCTATTGGAGTGATATCTTTTCCAATTGTACATTCGGCGCTTACTTCCTTGGAATCGTTATGTTCGTATTTGATAATTAGCCCGACATAGTGGTTCCTAACTTTGAGCGCAATCACGCGTTTTTGGGGTTCGATTTAGAATTACCATGCAGCAAGAGATGGAAATGGATATACGGAGGCTACCTGAGTCAACCGAGACGGGGAAAGAGGAGGTAGACATGGTACAGAAAGGGCAATTGGAAGCAGCGCAAGGAACGGATGTCGAAGAAGAAGCCCAAAATGGGAAGAGGAGTAGGCTGAGAATGGTGGCTATCATCACTGCGCTTTTTGTAAGTTTGGACCTACTCACCATCTCCATGGCATCTTCGATGAACGAAATGCCCAATCTCCCTACAAAACCCTCACATGCAACACACTAACCACCACCCAGCTCTCCCTCTTCGTCTCAGCCCTCGACGCAACAATCGTCTCTACGGCTCTTCCCACTATATCACGCGACCTCAACAGCGCCACGGGCTACACCTGGATCGGCGGCGCGTACCTGCTTGCCAACGCCGCTTCAGGCCCCATCTGGGCCAAGTTGTCTGACATCTGGGGCCGCAAGCCCATCATGTTGGCTGCACTTGCCATTTTCTTTGCTAGCTCGGCGGTTTGTGCGACGGCGAAGACGATGCAGGAATTGATCATCGGGCGTGCGTTCCAGGGTACGGCGGGTGGGGGGTTGATTCTGTTGGTGCATGTTTGCATTAGTGATTTGTTCAGTTTGAGGCAGCGGAGTTTGTTGATGGTGAGTTGCTTGGCAGGTGGTATCGTGGGAGTGGTCTGGTTAATTCTTGTGTGCAGGGCTTCACCGAGGGCATCTGGGCGCTGGCAGGTGGCATCGGTCCGGTCTTGGGCGGTATCTTTGCTAGTCTGGTCACTTGGAGATGGTGCTGTGAGTGTCATCTTTCTCCTCTTCTTCTCTGCGAACTTGCGCTGACTTTAATCCCCCCGACACCCAGTTTACATCAACTTACCTATCAGTGGATTCGCCGCTGTACTCATAGTCCTGTTCTTGGACATCAAGCATGAACACACCTCTTTCATCGATGGTATCAAGGCCGTAGATTGGTTCGGCATGTTCACCTTCCTTGGCTTCACGCTTATGATCCTTTTGGGTCTCGATTTTGGAGGCGTACTTTTCCCCTGGGACTCCGCCAAGGTCATCGCTCTACTTGTAGTAGGCGGAGTGATGATATTTGCGTTCATTTACAGCGAGGCAAAAGTGGCCAAGTACCCATTGATTCCCATGACGGTATTCCGCCGGGGAACAAATATCGCTGCTTTCCTCGTCGTATTCTTCCACGGCTTTGTCTTCATTGCAGGCGAGTACTATATGCCGCTGTATTTTCAAGCCGTTCTCGAAGCTTCTCCGTTGCAGTCTGGACTACTCCTCCTCCCCTTTATCGTCACAGGTGCGATTGCCGGAGTTCTCTGCGGCCTCATCATGCACAAGACTGGCCACTTCCGTGAGATCATTTGGGTGGGCACACTGCTCCTCACCATTGGTTTCGGCCTCTTCATCTCCTTCGACGCATACACATCGACTGGAAAGGCAGTAGGTTTCGTCATCCTCGGCGGTCTAGGATCCGGGATACTGTTCGAGGCACCAATGATTGCTATTCAGAGCCAGGTCGAACAGCAAGATGTAGCTACCGCTACTGCGACACTATCTTTCGTTCGTAATATCGGCGTCGCAATATCCACCATCATCGGCGGTACCATCTTCCAAAACTCGATGAACGGTCAGGCTTCTTTTCTTCGAGACGCTGGGCTACCGCAGAATCTATTGAGTCAACTTGATGGCGACAGCGCCATGGCGAATGTCATGCTTCCTGCCACGTTCGAGAATGCGGCATGGGAACTTGCTGCGAAACAGGCCTTTGCCGCCGCGATGCGCAATATGTGGATCACGTATACGGTACTCGCTTTCTTGAGTTTTGTCGCAGGTCTGTTCATCAAGGCCGCAGTGCTGGGAACGGATCATGTGGAAACTGTCACTGGATTGAAGAAAGAGAAGGTCGCGGCAAGAGTAGAGACGGACAGTTCGTAGGATGTGAAACGCGCTGTGGCGTGCACTTGCGCCGGAAGGTGTGAGGTAGTCGTTGAGATGCTCGCGGCAGCGACGATGACGTCACGCCACTTGGAAACAACCTGTGGGCCTTTACGATGGGAAACCATCTCGACTCGAAATACTCCAGACACCAGCTATCTAGATCAAATCCCGATCCCTGGCCCAGGTTGCCCTGCTTATCGCCTACCCTCCATGGCTCCATTATGATCTCTATTCTCGCGCACCGTGCGGCACACTGATTGGAGAAAGCTCTCTACGTATAATTATGCGCGATGGTTTGAAGCTTCGGAATCGCCGTCGCCGATATGATCTGCTTCCTAACGCTTGACATACTTGCATCTTGCATCGTACTCTTCTGGTATCCCAGGCAAATTCTGTATAGATGCTGTGTGATGACGTGCGGGTAAGGCTGGCAGCGTCGGACAGGCCGACCCCGCCTCGTGGTGGCTGCAGATAGTCATCTCGCCAGGCTAGACCCCCTGTGAGTAGCGCTCGGTGTGAGCGAGGCCTCAATACTACATCACATACAGAACTAGGGAGGTTCTCGTTATAAGAGGGTCGCAGTGCGTTCAGTTCCTGGTGTGAAGAGATGGAATGCGTCATCGAGGTCTACAACTCTGCGATGGCCGAGACCCAAGAAACGCGTTGTCTTATCGTCTAGCAAAAATACAGCATCTGATCCGGCAATCAGGGTAAGATTAGATTTCTCTGGGGTGACGAGGTGGGATGTGGGTCAACATCCGCGATAGGTGCGGATTCCCTGGCACGAGGTTCGTTGACGCCGCATGCGTCTGCGTCACACGGCATGTCCAATTTCCTGGAATACCATTGTCCACATTGTGCAACACGTCCGAGAAACGATCGATCTCACAACTTCAAAACACACCGCAATATCAATAAAGAGTAGGGATACCATTCCATGAACCTTACGAAATGGGACTTTTACCGCGCTGTCCGGCATCACTAACCCCTCTTTCTAGCGCACAAGGCTTGCTTCCGGTGAGGAAGAACGTCATAGTTTCTGAAGCTTACCGCTATTTAGTCTGACTTACGGTGACGCCCGCGACTCGTCGTTCACTTCAGGGGAACGTTTGGGTGTTTTTGCGCTAGCAGCGATGGCTCTCTGCGATCACAACCATAGCGCAGTAGTTTGAAGTATCTTGAGCAGCCGTTTAATCATACCAAATCATCTTAAAGCATGTTGACTACACCGCCATGTACTTCTAATCTCTCCGCCAGTATGGGCCTGCGGTAACAAACGAGGAACACGCGAATGTTCTCATGTCATCTGTGATTTTTGCTTCGCTGCTTTCGATCTACGGATGTTTTCACTCATGCGCAGAGCTGATTTAAAAATATCCGATCGCTCTCGGTGTTACCCATGTATCTTTGCATATGCAGCCACCACCCGCTGCGATGGGCTTGGAACGGCGGGACGGATGAACTGCACCACCATCGTGCCATTTGCATGTGCATTTCAACAAAACAGGGCAGTGGAGATATGCGAGACTTGCAGAATCATGCGAAGATCCACTAGTGTGTAGTTGTCAAGAGGTGAATACCTCGAGCAACACCTCACTGCCATCCACACGCCATTAGGAAGGGCTGGCCATAGTGCGCCGATGACGCTAAAAAACCAAGGAAGTCAAAGCTCTCGTGATGGCATCTTACGTGCCCATACATTGCCGGCCGCGGCTCCTGTACAAGCAGATAATCCCATGGATGATTACTGCCATCCACATGAGTCTTGGCGCGGATCGACCGCTGGCCCGGTAGATTGGAGACAGCCGAAGCCACCATAGTGACGTCTGAAGCGGGTATGACACATGTTACCAAAGCTTCGAGGGCGTTGTCGTCTTGATTCGGCGCCGCCGTTGAAGCCTTACAATCGGGAACATACAGGTACTAGCGTGTTGTTGTCAGACAGCCGCTCATCACATGCGGTAAGCTTAAGCATTTGAAGACGGTACGGAAGATAACTCTACTCTCAAGCCTCGGCTCTGCTTGATAATTTCACGGCATCTCCGACTTTATGCATCTGTTGTTGGTGATTCCGTGGGAAGTTGATTTGCATTGGTGCATTTTCACAGGCAAGACTCGGAGCGACACTGACTGTGGATGGTGATGTGGAAGATCACGGCACATCGCGCAGCCTACCACAAGTTGTGATTATATATATACTCGTCGTTAGCCAGTCTTTTTGACGATTCGATAAACATACTGAATTATACCTGGCTTCAACAGGCAATATCATTTTTCTCCGCTCTTGTTTATCCCGACCGATGATCCTTTCGCTTTGCCGGAAACTTGCCACCGGTCCTTCGTCTCACTTTCAGCTCTTCCACTCAAACACTTCTCGGCCTGCATAATCTCACCACATGTAGCCAGTATGTCTTCCAGGAGCGGGGACTCGGACATCCATCCAGATCGCATCCAAGCCCGCGAGGACCAATACCATCGCGACAGCCAAGCCAGATACCAATCTCCAGTCAGGAACAGAAGCTTCGATGTGACCGATCTCGGCGCCATCGGTGCCCTCTTTGATATGCCTGAGGATGAGTCTTGGCCTCCCAGCCTAGAGCTCACCGACCACGACGCCCTGTCTGACAGTGCCAACCTCACAAATATGACCACAGATACTACCATGAATGTACGAAGGAACTCAGTAAGGGGAACTGCAGGCAGCTCGCCCGTATCTCGCGCATGCACTCCTGAAAAATGCGTCCCTTACCTTCCGTTGTATGAGTACGAGGAACTACAACGACAGACATCGGCCAGCAGTAAGACTCTCCACAATATCCTCAGACGCTCTGATGTCTAACCAGTGCTATTATTCGATATGCGTTGGCCAGAGTTCATGCTGACTGATCGATAGAGCGACGCCGAATCTCTGTGTCGACCACGGTAGAGCCCGGAACACAGGACGAACATGATGAACATGACGAAGACCACTATATCGAAATGCACAACACTCCCTTCTCCAACCATACCCCATCGCACGGCTCCCGAGACTTGACGGACAAAGAGGGTTGTAGTGTGAAGGATGTGGGGCTCAGTTCTTCAGAACCTTGGTCGCAACTCGGTCGAACTGTCGGAAAGAGCGTCTGCAGTGGCCCACAACCGTATGCTCTGCACTACGAGGGTGTCGCCGAATGAATGACCGTCACATGGAGGTCCACAATAATGGCAACGCCACTGATGAAGGTTTTGCAATGAAGCAAAGGAGACAAAGTCTTCGTGACAAGACCTGTGGTCTCGTCGGCATCGGGTTGTCTTCTGTCAGCAGCCTTGGTAATGGGGATTTCTGCTATCATTGGTTCCTTGTCGCTATCGATCTTCGGCTGAACGTTTTTGCTCATTTGACTCCAAGATTACATCGTGCATTGATAGTCGCGAGCGAACAAGGAATACATCATATCCACCTCTTCGTCCACACCTTCTAGTCACTGGTCTCGCTGACAAAAATTATCGAAAGCGGCGCTCAATTACTTCGAGACGTAAAAGCATACGAGATCTGATGCTGCGTTGAATGTTCAAGTGAGATTAAATCCGGCCCAGGAAGAACGTCCTAACGAAGGAGTGCTACCCATCTGCGTAGAACTGCGGATGATCTGAAAGTCGATCTGCATCTTGCGCGAGCAAAAGAAAAGGCGCGCACTGTATATGCGCCGCCGTATAGCAAATATCTGCGCTCATCGTCCAGAAGCCCATGAAGCGCCTTGAGCTAACCAGGTAGGCACGGATGTCGCTGCTTCCGAGTGGATAACATCATGAGCTGGCGGGGAACGTACCGTTTTCAGACTTTGTCGCAGCGCACTTCCTGCGTATCTGGAAATAACGCGTTTGAAAAGCAAGATCAAAGAGGGGAGAGCGGGATTTGCACATAAGAGTGATGCGACGGCAGCGGCAGCGCCATGACCCCCGCAAGTTTCCGCAGGGCAAAACTGCGGGGCCGGGAAACGCCCTCGGGATGCAGGTGAGCCAAAATCGCAACCCCATTGAAACCTGAATCAGACACTTCTCAGAGATATCAGGGGTCTTGCAAGCTGCTAGTAGATCGGTCGTCATGCTTTTGTCGGAATGGTGGAGATCTACGGCTGTCGGCTGCCACGGACCCTCTGCGCGTTCCGCGCAAAAGCAAATTTCGTACGCCTTCGACGTTCGCTATCAAAACAGACGTTTACCGTTCATGAGCGGGGTCTTACCAGTGGTGTTGAGTAATACTAAGAGCAATCTAACCTTCCTGGTCTTTGCGTGCATACAGTGATTCGGTTGGCTCAAATCTTCAAGGGCTGTAAATACATGTTTGCTAAGATGTACTTCTCCGTCAAGGAGTGAGGGACGGTAAGTCTAATCGACGCAAACCTACACGCTGTAGTACATCGACGCACACTTCCAAGCAAGTTGTCAGTAGCTGTATCGTTGTCGATAATCCTACTGTCAATCTCACAACAAATATGAGAACACAATGACTGAGCATTGCAAGAGTGTTTGGCCCGTTCGTGATGCTACAAGTAGCTTCTATCAAGTATGTGGTGGTAGCAAGTACTACTATATCTATACAAATCGCTTTTGTTCATACAAAATCGTCCCTCGAGGTGACAGTGGTGGTGATGGTGATATCGCCCGGGTCCTTCGGCTCATGGTTCCAAGCGTTGTTCCCATGACTCTCCCTGAGTATCGTCTCCTCGCTTGCTGTATCACTGCCCATCCGAACTGTTGTCTGTAAAACACTCTCCCCAGGGCCCATGTATATTTTATCCGACTTCCTACTTCCATCCATACCACGGCTGCTCTTGGACTTGGAGTACTCCTTGAGTGGATAGGAGTTCTGGCCCGAGGAGTCGCCGCGTGAACCGTATTTGATGCGGACGTAAAGTGGCCGAAGAACGGGGACACAAGCGCAAACAATGGTGAGGAATACTTCGGTGGAAGACCAAAGAAGCATACTCGCGGTGTCGTACACGTAGTTCTCCATT